GGCCTTGAAGTGGATGGATTTGTAAAGAACATGATGGAAGCTGGTGACGGTAAAAGGTTTTATCACTGCCATTACATTTTTGATATGCAGGATTTTACCAATTTGATATCGGTAATTTTAAATCACCTGACCTTTATTGAACACTGTCGTCCAGCATCAGTGGCACAGACCTGGGGTATTTCTCAAGTCTCTTAATTGCATCCCAGTTTCCCTCACTTGGGTCCTTTTCTTGCGTCTTAGTCCCTCCCACCAGGGATGCATGGAGGAAACCATCCAAGGAGAGAGGATCGAGGAAATATGTTTTGAGAGACATGAGACGTCCTTTCCTCAGTTGCGTCACGTGAAGCGACGTCTGTTTCTGATGACGGAGGATCAGCTGATCACAGCTGGATCTGCTGTCAGTCGGCTTTAACAGCTGGAGACTTTTGTTAAGTTTGTTTCTGTTCACATGATCACTGTACTTAATAATAGTAACTAATAATACTAACAAAGACACACAGTAATCACCACTGTAGAGGTGTTTCTGTCTGTAGTCTGTTAAACTGTGTTCTGTTAAGTGCAGGATCCATTTCACAGGAATGCGATTGTCTTATTTATGAATTATTTGCGTCTATGTTTTGAAGTTGTGACTGTGGCGTCATTAAATAACCCAGAATATGATTATTGTTTCTCTTAAATGATAAAACTCATCAAGCACTCAGGAATGATGTAAAAAGTGTTTCATCTCCAGCTCTCTCTCACTTTAATTGTATTCATAATAAAAGTTGACGGAAATATCAGATTATGAAAAGGCAAATCTTTCTAATAAATGGAGTTGTTTGTGGTCGTTTTGTTGTTCAGTCTACAATGAACATTTATTTAAACCAGATGTTGAATCAGAAAACGAATCAAATATAAAGCTTGAGTTTAATCTGTGATCTGTCTTCACTGTTTACATGCTGAACAAAACCTCATCAATCCGATCGGTTGCAGCGTCCAATCACATGACTGATGAACAATGAGGGGGCGTGTCGGCCATTAAAAGACTTCCTGCTCCTCCTCCTCCGACCTATAGATCTTTGGGACGGCCGTCAATATGGCGGAGCAGAATCAACTTCCGGTTCGATTGAGGAGCGAGGAAACGACAATTAAGAGACTTGAGAAGTACCCCTGGACAAGTTCAGGAAACTTAAACGGTGATGGAAAGATCTAGAACAACAAGCTTCATACCACCTTTCCTTTTTTTTTTTTTTTTTTTCTAATTTATGTGCATCTTTTACTATTTCTATTCCTTTTCCCGTCCTAATTTCTGGAAGTGTATCTCCTCCCTTACTGGCTCTGTCTGGTGTTTAAAGGCCAATGTATTTACATATTTCATGCTCAATAAAAGCACAGTACTGTCTAAAAATGCAACATAATGTGCTTTATATGGATTAATGCCACCGTGATTTAAATATGGATTGCAAAAATAGCTAGTTGCTGTTTTCATGATTGTATGACTTGCTTTTTTGTAATGTCTTAATATATGACTGTTTGCATGGCATTGTGAACCAGTTACATGAATGTTAATAAAAAATGATTAAATCTTTGTCCACTCTTTTTCTCCTGACATGATAATTTTGCAACAGAAACTGCATTATTAAATCACTGCATGTGGTTTTTCAGTGTCCTAAAATCAATGGCTAAATAAATCTATTTTATATGCTTCGAAAAATTAACAAGTTATGTGAAATATGCTATTTTCAATGGGCTTTAACACGCAAAACCATGTTTTTACCCACTTTGTTTCAAAGGCCACACAACTTGAACTACTCACCTCTAAGAGCTCAGTTCTCAGTATAGGTCACGAGGGCCACAAGAGATTTACGAGTTGCAGTAGTTAGGCCAATTAGTCCTTAGCTTCTTCGTGAGTATGTTAGAGCAACTGGAAGGAAAGGCAGAGTTGAATTTGAGTATTCGTTCATCCCCTCAAGGTGCCCATACCAACTCTCCTTCAGCTGGCTGACTGGCTAGAGTATGAGCTCTAAGTGCAAGAAGGCAACACCAGGTTCAGCAGCAGCTCAGGGAGGAAGAAGGAAACTCGTATCAAAGGGCAAAATAAAAACTCCAAGCCTACAGTGGGGCCACCATGTCTCAGAAGGTGGCAGTATTACAACCACCACCCTCATCCGACATCAGTAAGAAATACTGTCCCTACTGCTACAATAGTAAACATTCACTTAATAATTGTGCCAATCTTCAGATTCTCAACCCAACCCAGAAGCAGACTTGGATTAAGGAAAACCAACCACTGCTGGCGCTGTGGCCGAGGGCATCGAGCTGTGTAATATAACCTAAAGGTGCATTGCAAGACCTGTGAAAACAGACATCTCTTTGCACAACACATCAACGAGCAGGCTACTGATGGCAGAGAGGAAGCACAAGGAAAGTCAGAGCGCCGTAGAGCCCCCTTTAACAGCATCAGAGAAGAGGTCCTATACATCGAGCGGCCGCTAGAGGGGTGGAAGGTTCTCCATAAAGTTAGTAAAGTGGTGCTGAGAAATGGAGATGGATCCATGGACGCCTATACAATCCTGGATGATGGTTCGGAACATGCTATCCTCCTCCACCCAGCAGCCCAGCAGACCAGCAGCTGGGACTCAAGTAGGAACCTTTAAGAACAGTCAGACAAATTCTGCAGATTCTACATGGCGCCATGGTCTCCTTCACTATCTCCCCAGCAGACGATCCACACCGTGTTTTCTCTATCAACCGAGCATTTACTGCAAAACGCCTTGGACTAGCTGAACACACACATCCAGTGGAGGCCTTACAGAAGAAGTATTGGTACCTGAGGGATCTATCCCTGCAGCCATTGCACTTGGTTCGCCCAGTTCTACTCAATGGTTCTGATCATCCCCATTTGAACACGCCAGTAGAGCCAGTACGCCTGGGCCCCCCCCCCCCGGAGGAACCTGCAGCGGTGAAGACCAGCCTTCAGTGGTCTCTCCAAGGCCCAGCACAGGCACTAAGGCATTGTCTGTCACAGCAGCAGTGTCTGTTCATGTTCATTCTATCACAACCAGCAGACATCTACAGCCAAGCTGAAAAGCTTTGGCAAATGGACGTTCTGCAATTGCGCAGTGAAAAGGCCTGCGACCGCCCATGACAGGACAAAGAAGCCATGGCACTTCTGGAGAGCAAAACAGCAAGAGTTGAGATAGAAGGTGTCCACCGATATGCTACCCCTCTCTTACGTGTCCAGAACATAGCCCCTGTCAAGGCGCTAAAGGAAGCTGTCCTCTCTCTGCTCCAAGCCACAGAGAAGAGGCTGACCAGAGACCCAGAGAAAGCAGCAGCTTACAATACTGAGATTCAGAAACTGGTCACTGCTGGCTATGTCAAGAAGTTGGAACCTGGTAAGGAAGACACACCCACCAGCTATTATATCCCACATCATATGGTGACCCACAATGGACAGAACCGGGTGGTCTTCAACTGATCCTTCGAGTTCAGAGGTGACAACCTAAACCAGCTCCTGCTCCCTGGCCCTACCCTGAATCCTGCTGTGGCCATCAGTAGCGACATACGCAGCATGTTTCATCAAGTCATGGCGATATGTGGATTCTGAAAATAACCCTGTAGATGATATTACCAGCGGTAAGCACCTTCAAGATCATACAACAAACATTCGCTGGTACCAAGGCACTGCCTTCATGCAGAAGAGCTCCGACCAGTGGCCAAAACTGCAGCAGGTGCCATCCATCTCTACAAACTGTGAGGAAATAAATAAAGTTGTTTTCTGTGGACTCACGGTAGCACCTGTTCTAACAACTATGCCAGACAGTGAGTAGTTCGCGGCTAACAATCTGCTCACCGCTGTCAACTACAGAGAGGCGGAGAAACTCCTACTTCAACGAGTGCAGCAGGACTGTTTCTCCACTGACTGTCAGCAGCTGTTGGCTGGGAACCCGCTCTCAGGCAGCAGATGCTTCATCACTCTCGCCCAAGAGTTCAACAATACTGCACTGCTCATCTGAGTTGGGGGAAGGCTGCACCACACTCCTGTCGTTGATGCTGAGGCCCTCCACCCAATCATGCTTGATCCAAAGCCCAGAATTACACAGCTCCTCATCCATCACCCTGATGACCAGCTTCACCATCCGGTAAGTGAACAAGTGTTTGCCCAGCTGAGGAAAAACATTGAATTCTTAGGGGTAGGGAGGCTGTTCGACGGGATCACCATCATTGCACAGAATGCAGAAAGTGGCGGGGAAGACAACAAATGCCTCGAATGGCAGATCCCCACCTACACCATAAAGTTTGGCAGGAGAACTATTGAAGAGATGAGGAATCATCTTCAAGTGTATGACCACCAGGGCAGAGCACTTAGATCTCCTGTCCGAATTTTAATGGTAAAGCTCGTTGAACTACAAGAGACCTTCTCCTCACTGCAGTCAGACCTACAAGCCCAGCTTGCTTCCCAACAGATCAAGTTCACCTTTAACCTGCCATGTGGTCCCCATTTTGGAGGCCGTTGGGAGAGGAAAATAAGGTCACTCAGGAGCCTTATGGCCCAGAGGACTGATCGCTGAGACTGTTTCTGCACCTGATGGCAGAATAAGGACTGTGTAAGTAAAAGTAGGAGATCGCTTTTACACCCAGCCAGTATCCCACATCGTCAGCCTTCCTAAACTGCCAAACGGTTAAAGACTCAAGTATTGGCTACAAGTTGTTATTATTGTGTTGTTATTAATATTATTTCCAACAGAAATCCGGGGCCAGCTCTTACAAAGGCCACACCAATTTGACTATTCCACCTCCCCCTTAGATTGGTATGTTTCGTCTTCTCAGTATAGTTCATGACGGCCACAAGAGTTTTTTCTGAGATCCAGTAGTTAGGCCAATTAATCCCAAAACTGGTGTTGCTTGCGTCCATTGAACTGTTAGGCTCGCTTAATTAAGAGCAATTAAGTGTCTGCTGTTAGCTTCCACCTGTGTAGAGCCTGCTTAATGTTAATACATTCAATGCGCCTCTGTTTGGTCATTACTCGTTTGTAACCCCATTGTGCTGTTGAAGTCTGTAGTCTTGGTGTCCTACTTGCTTGTGATATAACTAAATGTCTCGATGGTTAATTGCTGTTAACTGTTAACTATTCCCTGTAATGGGATGAGTTAGTGTCGGTAGCTGTCACCATTGTGGCCTCGGGTTCCACCTCATGGCCGTGCTAAGCATAGCGGTGTAGCCATGTCGTTCTTACAATGCTTGGGTTTAATGGTTTTCCTTTGTTATTCTTCCTATTTCAGAAACCACTCACACACCTACTTACAAACACAAACTACAAAGGTATTTCTGTACACCCTGTCAAGCCAAACTCAGCAATAAAGTGTTCTATCTGGAACTACCAGACTGTTTGTGATTTGACCAGTCACTTCAGTGGTGGGTGGTGATTTCTGGAACTTAATTTGTGAGAGAAGCCACTGTCAACCAACCTCTGTCTTTTACACTTGCAGAAAAATCCAGTGTCACCTGTCCACATCAGTGAGAAAACACTAAATTGTATGCAGTACTCGCTGCAGCTGTGTCTAAATTACATACTATAATGGATATAATGTACAGCAACATCCCTAAACACATTTGTCTTTTCTCAACAACATGACGGACATCAGGTTGATTTTAATACAGCTTCATTGTGTTTAGATAAAGAGCTTAATAGCAGAGCAACACGCTTCTTCTTTTCTCTTGTTTCTAGTTCTGTTTTAACTTCTGTTGTGTTTGAGTTGAGGCAGACATCTCGGAGGTGGAAATCTGAAAACCTCAACGAATGAAACCAAAAGCACTTTAACTACTGTCTGTATGAGGACATTTGTCTCGCAGCCTGGGAAGGTTTGTAATTTGTGTGAATTTACCTTTAAAGCAGATCTACAAACTGAACTGAAGGGATGTGTGGAATTGGCTAAATTGAAAACACCTGCCCAGGTTGTGAGAGTGGACATCCCAGCCTGATTCCAATTACTTCATCAACGTGAGACATGATTGGTCGGCACCAACACTTGAAAAGGGCCACTGTCTGTGCAGCAGTCAGAAAGCTGGAACACTAGAGTCTGTTGGTGGCCCTGTGAACAGCAACACATATTGCAGGCTGTTTAGCTTCAGTTGGAGAACCAAAAATGTCTTTTGGATTTTGTGTGAGGTATGATTGCTCTTCTTTGTTTCAGCAGCTGTATAATTCTTCTATCATGTTTTGTTCACTTTATCATCTTTTTTTCAGAGTGCTTGTGATCTCACTGTTGGCTTTTGGGCAGCATGCAAATGGTAAGAATTCATGCTACAAGAGCTGCATTTTCAATTTAGCAACTTCTTTACAGAACTGTCCTAAAATGTTTTTCTTTTTCTAGCACTCAGCTACAGAGGTGGAGGCTCCAGTGGCATTATGCCTCACTTTGATTATCCAGGAAACCATAAACCTGCTTTTGCATCCACTTATGAGAGGTCTGCACAGCCTGGAGGGTTTCTGGGTAGTTCTGGATCCAGTCACAGTGAAAGTGGGCAAGTAGATAGTTACAGTCCAGAAGGAAGTGTTTCTAGTTATGTGCCTGGCTCACGGCTCATTCGGAAACCCACAAAAAACTCCCAGCAGCCATCTCAAGCTAACCCCAATGCAAAGGGTGACTTCCAGACCAAAGGTGCAATGGGGGATTTTGTCTTGCCAAAGATTGGAAAAAGATTTGAGTCAGGTATTGCTTCAAGTAGTGGAATTATTATGCTATCTGGTCCTCAGCCCCAGCAGGCTAGATACCAGTCGCCCTCCAAGCCCCAGC